TGTCATGATTTCAACAAAAATAAATATTTCCCAACATTTTTTAATAATACGTATCACAAGGCATACCTTTGATGTATATGTACACAAGATAAAAATAAGTAATGAAAGGAAGTGAAAATATTTGGTGTATTTATTTACTGTTACTAAAAATGTACCAAGTGTTCTCTATACTATTGTTAACTTATTTATATTTATTCTTCCTTCTTCCTTGTACAACGCTAGAGGTCATTACTCATGAGAAAAAATGCTGTTCATCAGCGATTGATGTACTTTTCATCAATTGAATGCTAAAAGCATTTTAATCGGCCGCAAAATTTTTTAACTATGATATGTACAAGAAAGATTTTCAAATATGAAATTGAATTTTCTCAATTAATGACCAAGTTTGCCCCACCCTGAGACCAGACACCTGACGTATGAGTAGTATAACCCCCCCCCCTGCCCCCACACACCCCTTCTGATATTATTAGACATTCAATATATCATATAAAAAATTCCTATCATACCCATGGCCGTAGAAACCGGGGGGGGGGGGGGGGGACGGGGACCGTGCCCCAATCCCAAATAATTTTGCAGATATATAACTAAAGAAAACATAGCTACTATACGCTTGAAACATAGGTAATCAGAGATTACAGAGCTCACCTCAACGAATGTTGTCTTTAAGTAAGGCAAAGTCCCACACTAAACTAATAATCTAGTAATATGCATCCCTAGATGCAACATTTATGCAATTTAGGTCTTATAGGGCTTGCAGTTACTTGGGATTGGACTCATCTTAAAACTTTAAACTAGTCACTCATCCAGAAAATGTAAGTCAAATCCAGCATCTGAAGCAAGTTTGAGAGTGTCCCTCCCTTGATGCATCATCCATGTAAGTTTGGTTCAGTTAGGCTTTATAGTTACTTGAAAATGAGATCTGCTCCAAAAACTTTAACCTGGTCACTCATCCGGAAAATGTAGGTCAGATCCAGCATCTGAAGCAAGTACAGTAGTGTGCATCCTTAGGTGTATCATCTATGCAAGTTTGGTCAATATAGGGCTTATAGTTACTTGGAAATGAGATCTGCTCCAAAAAGTTTAACCTGGTCACTCATCCGGAAAATGTAGGTCAGATCCAGCATCCGAAGCAAGTTCAGTCGTGTGCATCCTTAGATGTATCATCCATGCAAGTTTGGTCAATGTAAGGCCTATAGTTAATTGGACATGAGACCTGCTCCAAAAACTTTGACCTGGTCATTCTTTAGCTGAAATTGCAGCATCTGAAACCTTGACTGGTACAATGAAACACACTAGAAGCATCCTCCATACATCTCTGATTAATATATAGGGCATAAAAGTACTTGAAAAGAAAACTGCGCCAAAAACTTTAACCAGGGACGCCGACACCGACGGTATTACATAAGCTCCCCAAACTTCGTTGAGGTGAGCTAAAAACGTCTCTTTTTTTATGCCCCCGTATCGAAAATTCGGGGGTATATAGTTTTTGCCCTGTCCGTCCGTCTGTCTGTTTGTCCGCAAAAACTTTAACCTTGTCCATAACTTTTGAATGGTTGGAGCTATGGCTTTCATATTTCACATGTGTATTTCTTGTGACAAGACCTTTCTTTGGGTACCACCATATTTGAACTTGGAGTTTGGCGCATGTTTGCAAAATTTTACCAAACTTTAACCTTGGCCATCACTTTTGAACAATTGGTGCTAGGGTTTTCATACTTCACATGTGTAATCCTTGTGACAGGACCTTCCTTTGGATACCAACAATTTTGACCCTTTGACCTTAAAGTTTGACCTACTTTTGAAAAACTTTAACCTTGGCCATAACTTTTGAACGGTTGATGCTAGGGCTTTCATACTTCTAATATGTAATCCTGATGAGAAGACCTTTCTTTGGATACCAACAACTTTGACCCTTTGACCTTGGAGTTTGACCTACTTTTTGAAAACTTTAACCTTGGTCATAACTTTTGAACGATTGGTGCTTCGGCTTTCATATTTCACCTGTGTATTTCTTAGGAAAAGGCCTTTCCTGGGCACCATTAATTTTGACCATTTGACCTTGATGTTTGACATACTTTTGAAATTTTTTTTAATCTTTTCCATATCTATTCAATGGTTGCCGTTAGCACTTTCATCTATCACAGGTTTATTCCTAGAGACAAGACCTTACTTTGTGTACAAACATATACATGTATTTATCTTTTCAATGATTGCTGCTAGGGCTTTCATATTTCATGGGTATATTCCTGGGTACAAGACCTTACTTTGGATACCAACATATTTGATTTGCATTAGAGAAAGTTTAACCTTTGCTATAAGCTGCCATAGGGGGCATCAGTGTTTCACAGACACACGTTTTTTTGTTTTTGTTTTTTTTTTTGCTTGTCAAGGTAGTTGATAGTGCCTGAAATAGCTGAAAACGTATGACTGTGCCCCCCAAACTGAAACTTTTTTTTTATTAGGGCTTAGATTGACCCTGTAATCAGTATAGTATTTTATATACATGTATAAATATTCCCTTCAATATTCTTTTTTATATACCGTACAGTGAAAATTTCTCAAAATTAAAAAACGGAAAATGATATCACATATCGATGCTATTGTGGCTAGTAAAAAGTCTCAGGTGGGGGAAATGGTAACACCACCCACAAGTCAGGTGCTTGTCTGAACCATACGCCACTGGCGATAGGGCCATGAATTTCATTAAATTTCGTAAAGGACTGTTTTTAACTTTTACTAGATCATGAAAACTTGTTTGTATGATAAATGCCCATGGATAAAGAAGGAAATTTTCAAAGATTTAATGTATTTTTAATATAGTATTACGGATCACAAAAGTTGGAAAAAGTCGTGCTAAACGATATTCACCAAGCTGATGCAAGGGAGGTAATGCGTACAAAATTCCATGACACGGTAGTCATTGTCAACTATAGCCCTATTTTTTTTTTGGGGAGGGGGGGTCTTCACTCCGCGAATTGAAACATGTTTGAAGTGGGGGTTTTTCACCGTAAAGAAGAAAGGCATATTTGGCGTATAATAAGCAGGAATCATATACATGTATATACGAATGATTTGGTCAGCTGACTACAACTGGGCAGACTTTACTGACGAAGCTATTAAAGCAGATAAGAAAAAATGTTACATTACCATGATTACATTAAAATACCTGGTCAAAAAATAACTCTTCTTTTCCTAAAGGAGCTTGGACAGATTTGAAGTTCATATTTTCCAAAATTTTCAGTACATCATGAATTATATGTTGCTAGGGCATTTCAATTTACCAAATGACTCATCTAGCCATACTTCAAGGCTTTTTTTTTCAAGGAAATCAAGACACAGTAACGGCAAAATATGTCCCTTTCCTATATCATAAAAGACACATTTATCAATAGAATGCTAAAATATCGCGTGTAGGATCGATGAAATTTCTTTTTCAAGTGCGCCTAGATTCCTACCGAAGCCCAATCTAAATCGATCTTGTTCTTTTAATTTAGGGGGAGGGGTGGAAATGGTGGTGGTTGGGGGGGAGGTAAACTTTGTTTAGCATACAGAAATGTCCATTTTATCCTCTTGTGACGTCACTCTTTTGGATGTTCCATTATTTTTCAGGAATAGAAAGATGCAAACAAGTCACAAACCCTTTGTGTTATATACAATTATAGTTCTTCCTCCCTTAATTCTACAATATTGATGTTAAACTTGAAAGAACTTGAAAAAAAGCTATAAAATTAGTTACAAGGTAATATTCCCTATCCTGAGAACACTTCGTCCTTCTGTTGCGCTCCCCTGTCAAGCTCATTGTACAAAGTTCTTTGAAAAATTGTATAATTTAAAATCTTTCATAAGTAAAAGTCAATAAAAACAAGAAGTCTGTGAGCCATTATTCACAAGTAATACCCCCGCTCTGTGAATATTCACAAGATCAGTTATGGAAAGACAAACAGGCAAATAGGAAGTTGATATCAAATTCGTACAAAAATGGTTCCCATCATATTGCATTCCTCAACAAAAAGTGTGCTAAAATTTCAAGCATCTGCATTGAGTAGTTGCTGAGAAAACTGCGACGAAAATTTGTTATATTGTATAGACAGATGCAGGGATAAACAGGAAGATAGCATCAGATTCAAACAAAAATAAATCCCACTATATGGCATGCCTAAACAAAGAGTGTGCTAAAATTTCAAGCATCTGCGATGAGTAGTTGCTGAGAAAACTGTGACAAAAATTTGTTACATATTGTACAGACACTGACAAATAAACAAGAAGATAACATCAGACAAACAAAAATAAATCCCACTATATCATCATATGGCATGCCTAAACAAAGAGTGTGTTAAAATTTCAAGGAATTCAAGCATCTGAAACGCGTAGTTGCTGAGAAAACTGCGACGAATATTTGTTACATATTGTACAGACAGGTGGACAGATAAACAGGAAGTTGACATCCGATTCAAACAATAATGAATCCAACCATATGACATGCCTCAACAAATAGTGTGCTAAAATTTCATGCATCTGCAATGAGTTGTTGCCGAGAAAACTGTGACAAAAATTTGTTGCATATTGTGCAGACACTGACAAATAAAGGGGACGTTGACATCAGATTCAAACAATAATGAATCCCGCCATATGGCACACCTAAATAATGGGTGTGCTAAAATTTCAAGCATCTGCAATGAGTAGTTGCTGAGAAAATTGTGATAAAAAAATTGTTACGGACAGACACACACACAGTGAAACACACACACACAGGCAGACACATAAGGGTAAAACAGTATACGCCCCTTCTCCTTCAGAGCAGGGGCTATAATGATAATCCTTTTTTTTTTAAAATCTATTATCCCTTAATGATAATTAAAATACTTTAAAAATTTTTAATACAATTTTTTGTAATTTACAACTTTACCAAGAATCTTGTAGAACGAGTCATGACAGAGTAAGGCGAGATATGAACAATTAATGTTGTACTATGTGCCTCAATATAAATCACCACAAACACCTGAGCTGACAGAGTTTATTGTACAGATAATGTACATAATAAATAAAAGTCTATTCATCCTCCTCCTCCTCTTCGTCTTCATTGTTGATCTGGAAGTACCTCAGCTCGTACGACTCTTTGTTGTTGGCCACCACACGCAACCAGTCTCTCAGGTTGTTCTTCTTCAGGTACTTTTTGGTCATGTACTTGAGATACCTGGAATTGTACAATTTAAAATCCCACATCAGTCTGAATCACTCGTTCTAAACCTCCTCCCCCAACAAAAAAAGCTTTTGTTAAAAAATTTGTGAACCTCTAAGTGCAGCAAGTTTACTGAAATTTAACTAAAACTATAAGAGTAGTGTTTTTAAAGAATTTCACATAAATATTCTACTTTCCATGATCTTGACAAGAATGCTTTTCTTTTAAATTGGACCAAACCTATTGGAGTAGCATTTTGAAAGGATTATTCATAAATGGACATTCATATGACAGATATTTTATCATTAGATAAGCTCCTCTGGTCTTTCACCAGTATAACTAATAAAATCTAAGTAAAGTATTAAGCAACCTTGGTTATCAGTTACCTCTTGGAGAATGCGACATCAGATGTCAGGTTTATCTTGTTCTTATTCCTCTCCAGAGCTACATTGTTTCCAAAGTTTCCAGTCTTTCCATTCACCTTAATCTTTTCCTGGAGGAACTTTTCCTGTAGACGATGGAAAACATGCCACATGGGATTAGGGAAGGTGGCCCTAACCCAGACTAGGGAAGATAACCCTAGTCCTACTTGCATAAGTACAAAATTGACAATTCAAAAATCAAAATTATGTCTATATTACAGAATAGATTGGCATCTTCTAAGAGTAAATTTGTTTTCATAACAATGGTCAACCAGTTGCATCTGTCTTCAAACAAGAGGTCCATGGACCAATACACTCACTGTAGTTAATATTGCCCTGCCATTCTTAATTAGCAAATCTGCCCCCAAGGGTGTGATTTCAACAAACTTGAATCTACACTTTAACAAGAGGCCCATGGCCCACATCGCTCACCTGAGCACTAAGGCTAAAAAAAAAAAGAGAGCAAAAATCAGTTCAGTATTGAAAAGCTTTAATGCATAAGTGGTCCCAAACTACCCTTTTAAAGGGGGGGGGGGGGATATGATTTGAACAAAATTGGATCTACACTTACTAAAGATGCTTACATCGATATTTCTTTGTCTGTGACTTTTTTCCCCTTCAAGTTTGAACTTTCATCATGGTCCAACCCTACATCTGGAGGTCATGGTTTAAACAAATCTGAATCTACGCCACCTGAGGATGCTTTCCTATACTTTCCTATGTTAAACTTTGATTATCTATTGTGGGTCCACTCTACCCCAGAGGGTCATGAACAAACTTGAATCTACACCACTTGAGGATGCTTCCACATAAATATGACCAATCTTGGCTTTGCTGTTCTTGAGAAGAAAATTTTTAAAGATTTCTGCTATATATTCCTATGTAAAACTTTGATTGTCCATTGTGGCCCCACCCTACCTCAGGGGGTCATGATTTGAACAATTTAGAATTTACACTACCTGAGGATGATTCCATACAAGTTTTATCTTTCCTGGCCCAGTGGTTCTTGAGAAGAAGATTTTTAAAAGATGCCATTAATTTTTCACTTATTTGTAATTATCTCCCCTTGGAAGAGCACATGGGCCCTTCATTTGAACAAACTTGAATTCCCTTTACCCAAGGATACTTTCTGGGAAGTTTGGTTGAAATTGGCCCAGTAGTTCTGGAGAAGAAGATGAAATTGTGAAAAGTTTACAACGACAACAATGCCGACAACAACAACGATAGACAACAGACAAATTTCGACCAGGTGAGCTAACTTTAAAAATATGACAAATCATGGTCTTGCTATCTAAGATGAAAGATTTTTTTTTAAAGATTTTCCTATGTATTCCTGTGTAAAAATTGAATACCCATGGTGGCCTCACCCTACCCCCAGAGGTCATGATTTGAAAAAACTTGAATGTACACTACCTGAGGATGCTTCCATATAAATATAATGACTTTACTGTTCTTGTTGAGAAGATTTTCTCGATTTTTCATATGTATTCCTAGGCAAACCTTTGATCATCCACTATGGCCACACCCTACCCCAGGGGTCATGATTTGAAAAAACTTGAATCTAAATTACCTGAGTATGCTTCCATATAACTATAAATAATCATGGCTTTGCCATTTTTTTTTCAAATTTTTAAAGACTATTCCCATATATTCCTATGTTAAACCTTTTTCACCCACTGTGGCCCCACCCTACCCCTAGGGGTCACGAGTACTCAAGTCTACACTACCTAAGGATGCTTCTGTATAAATATGACTAATCATAGCTTTGCTGTTCTCAATTTTTTTGTACATATTCCTATGTAAAAATTTGTTCACATATTGAGGTCCCAACCTACCCCTCAGGAGTAAAGAAGAATTTTTGCCCCACCCCTCAGGCCCCAGGGGGGCAGGGACCATGAAATTCACAAATTTTGTCCCCCTTCACCCGTAGATGCTATATGCCAAAATTGGTAGAAGTTGATTGAGCGGTTTCAGAGAAGAAGCTGAAAATGTTCAAATGTTAACGCACGTCGCACGCCAACGGATGAAAACGGATAGCAATAGGTCATCTGAGTAAACTCAGGTGACCTAATAAATCAGTACAAATAGGGAAACTGTATCAAGAACTTCTATGAAATACATCAAAGATTGTTATAACATAAAATTAATTAATTAAGTTTATGCTCCCTTCATTTTCTAAGTGCTATGTCTTGGTTAATAAACCCCTCATTTTACTTACAAAGCTTGCAACATCCATGATTCCATCTTCCACTGGATGAGTGCAGTCTATTGTATAACGAAGACTTGTCTTCTTCTTCTTGCCTTTTCCAGCAGGCTTGGGTTTGCCAGCTCTCTTGACGTTCTGCAATACACATTACATGTAATCAAATGTGACAAGTTTTTCTTCTGTAAATAAGTTACTTCATTTGCATAGATTTAATTTGTTCAGACTGAACTTGAATATGCCCCTGTCAAGATATTAAGGACCCTCTTTCATCTCTCTTGAATACTAAAAGTAGTCCTTTGCTAGCCAAATGGTTACTTGTTGCATGAAAACAAAATGACTGGTAATAATGTGACTGAAGTAATCATAATCATTCTGCTACATGTATTCATTATCTCACCTCTCACTCAAACATGATGGAGTAGTTACCTGAACACTTTTGCTTACAAGCGTTCAAATGCAAAATCTGTTTAAACTTTGATTTGGGTTGCTTTTTATTAGTCCAATAGTACAAATACAAGTACTCACATACTTGCAACTTTTTGTCTTTGCAAACTGCATTTAAGGTCAAGATCTACTAAATGAAAGGTGCCTACAGATTTCTCAAATTTGAGAAATGAATTCCCTTAATGATGCTTTATAACTTTAGCTTGGTCAAATAAGGTGTTTCGGGCCATAATTTGTAGGTAAGCAAGAAGAAAAATCATATTTTAAACTGTCATTTTCAATGAAAACCTAAGAAAAAACAGTCATGAATACAAGAGTTTTTTCCAAATCAGACAAAAGAAATGTATCCAGATTGCCTACAGTCTCTCAGAAAACGGTAATTTGTATGTTCTTGGCCTCTTCTTTAAAATGATATTAAATTGAATATAGGTATCGAGATTACTTTTCACATGATTTCAAACTGAATTCCATGAAAATACTTGATTTTGCACATAAATCTATTAGAGCCATAAAGTACGGGAAAAAGAAAGTTGAAATTGATTATGACGTCATAATGGATCTAGCACCAAAAAGTAGTCTAAAGCATTTACTAGATCTTGACCTTAAATAGCTTAATCAAGGTAATCTGAATATCAAATAAAATCTATCTAATTCAACGAATATAACTCCATCAAGAGATTGTGCTGGATCCAATAGTTAAAATTGGGGCTTGCTGAAAACCTTTTCCTACTTTTTCTGTGAAAACGAGGACTATATACTATATATTGGTAATATTGGTTTCTATATATTAAAAATACTAATACATGACGTACAATGTTAGTCTCAGAAAGTTCTAAGTATTGATACTGTTCAACTTGTTTTTAACCAGTTTTATCATGCTTTTTTTCAAAATCTTGTTTTCCTGAATAGAAAAACTAGAGGCTAATGGGCCACAATGCTCACAAGTCAATATGGACTTGTTCTTTTCTCCAGCATATTTCTATGCAAAACTTTGATCACATATCCTTACCCAGCCCCAAGGGTCATGATTTCAACAAACTACTACATATCAATAAGGTTCATACATATTATAAACAAAGACCCAAGTACCTGTGCCAAGACACAGATACCACTTCTCTAAAGAAAATAAAGATTGATCAGAGTGATATATATATATCCCCTCTATATAAAGAAAGGGTATATATATCACTGATCATTCTTGGGTTTTGGTTTATAAATATATATGTACCTTATTGCTATGTATGTACCTTATTGCTATGTAAAAAAAGTACTTTTTTATATATCAATAAGGTACATACATATTTATAAACTAAGACCCAAGGACCTGTGATCAATCATATAAAAATTCAGACGCCTGTGAATATACAGCCCTACTTTGTATTTTCAAGTCGAAATTAATCTTCCTCTTAAGTTATGACTGACATATTTTTGTCTCTCACTTATCTGACCAAACTAAATTCAATTAAGAACTCTAAATATGACCTTTTTCCTCAAATTTTACTAAAACAAAATTTTGCACCTGTGGCATGGTTGAGACCTCGTGTGAAAAAGACCGATAACGAGGCTGTATGGATATTCTACAAATTAAAACCGTCGACGGAATTGGATTTAATTTTGTCGGAATTTTCCAGATTTATTGATGAACATTATATAGGAATCTGTTTTCTGCAAATTAATTTATAAAAAAAACATTACGAAATACGCTTATGATTATTTTTTTCTTTTTAAATTCAAAACACAATATTTTTTTTCTGATTTTGTATCATACCGGGAGTTTCGCGTCACGACCAAAAATGCATTTTCTCTCTTATAAAAGTCATTGATTACTCAAACCGGAAGTGTATTTGACCGGATTTGTGAAAAAGGTGAGAGTAACAAATAATCATAATGAAATATTATTTGTCTCTATATGTTTAAATTCGCATATTTTGTGCAGAATAACTACAATAGCACATTGTTTGTTATGCAGTATATGCATTTTACTTGTTTTTTGCTATAAAAATTGTTTTCTTACGGCGAAAACTAATGTGATGTAGGGGGGCGTTGCTTAAAGCATATGTACAATACTTGTATCTAATGTGTTATAACGTAATAATCGACCATAAATGTATATTTTTTATTATGAGTAGTATAATCAATAATATTTTTTCTTGTGATGCATTGTTAAACGTGTTTTCTGCTGATCATACTTACAAAATTGGCATTACTATTACCAGTAATTTGAATTATTGATCTTGTAAGACTTGTATTGAGCAGGTCCAGTACAATCTCTTGATTTAGTTATATAGCTTGAAATAGCTACATAGCTTTATTCAGCTATTAGAAATAGCTTCATAAAGCTATTTATATGCAGTTTCTCACACGAACTTTTTTTTTTGTGAGAAATATACAGTAAGTCGCAAGTATAAATTTGAATATTCATGTATGTGCTATGGGCTATCAAAAAAGCAACCCAAATCAAAGATAGTTTTAACATTGTAGTTTTGAATACTTTTAAGCAAAAGATTCATTTCCACTGTTTGGATAACTGTACACCACCTTGTGTGCTTTGAGGCATGGATAACTATGGTTGCTTCACACTGCGACTGTGCTGAATTATCTTGTTCAGGGATCGACATTAACGGTTGTCCGATTGCCGGGGCAAGTAAATCTCAGTTCGGGCAATTGAAACTGCTGATGTACTTGTCCGATAATATTTCTGATAGATTATTTTTAATCTTACATTAGTTTATAAACAAAACAATGAATTGAACATTTGATTTCTACCAGGAATATGACATTGTTTTTGCATTCAGAAATTCCTAGATCATACCGTTTATCAAAAAATCGGGTTCATTATTCTGTTTTTCTTTCGTGGTAGCTAGTTGACAAAAATACGCTTTCCGTCTGACAACTTTCTTTACATTCTTATGAAATAAAATATTATAAAATAGTTTATTTATTAACTCACCTAATATAAGAACACCAGTTATTCTTGGTGCACGATGTATTCTGATCAGGACATGTATGTTTCGAAACATGGCAACTATTTTCCTTTAGCGTTGCTTCAGTTTTTCGGGGGGGGGGGGGGGGGGGAATCAAAATTCACAAAAAGATCACATAAAAAATTATTTTCAAAAATATGAATTTTATTTTTAAGGAAATATAGCTGCATAGCAGTGTGAGTTTACAAATATTTAAAATGAAGCATGAGCAGCAGATCAAATTTTTTCTGGCGCTTAACTTGCCAAATATTAAGCAATATCTCACTTTATTTACAATAATAAATTAAGATACCAGTTCTCTTATTTCTAAATTTGGGGCAACCAAGTTTTGCATTCGGACAAGTCAAAGTTTGAGTTCTCACTTCACTTGCCCAAAGGGTAACTGAATCTGAAAGTTAATGTCTATCCCTGTTGTTGTATATATATATCTCAAAGGGGTTATTGTATCCCATTTGGACGATTGGTCCCAATCTATTGAGTATATGTACAATAATTTGGTCTGTTATGTTTCGCTGTAGGAAGCAAAGACAATGAAGAAATGATAGGAGGATTGTTCATATATAACCACAAGGGAGAGGTCCTCATCTCCCGTGTGTACAGAGATGACATTGGGTAATAAATATGTTTGCTCATCCAGTTAAACAGGTTTGCCACACTACCCCAATAGAAGGAGTATAAAAAGGAATCATTCCTCTTTACAGTGATAATAAAAACATTATCATATATGGGATGTACAGTGCTAGATTATTAGTTTTGTATGGGAATTTGCCCTACTCAAAGACAACATTCATTGAGGTGAGCTCTGTAATCTCTGATTACCTATGTTTTATTACTGTAAAAAGAAATGATTCCCTTTTTGGGAGATACTTCCTATACTAGGGAATATTTACCAACCTGATTAAGGAGAAGACATAGTACTTGATGCAGGATAGCTGTTTTGTGCTTAAATCCACTGTGATGGCATAAAAACCTAGGGAATTCATATGTGAATTTTCTTTTTTTTTTTTTTTTTTTTTTTTTTGTGATTCAATCCAATTGAACTGTGTTCTACATGTCATCCAATGATTTTTATTTTTTTGTTTTCTCATGAAAATGGTTTCCTTGAATATGATGCAAAAAATTCATAAATTTTTAAAAATGCTGTCCAACCAATATATTTTTTTTTTTTTGTTTTGTTTTTTTTTAAGTTGAAGTTCATGTATATTTATAACAGTCTAATAACAGTAACTTGTGTAATCCATGTATGTTTTCAGGAGAAATGCAGTAGATGCATTTCGAGTCAATGTCATCCATGCACGTCAACAAGTGCGGTCCCCTGTGACCAACATTGCTCGTACCAGCTTCTTTCACATTAAGCGGTCCAACATCTGGCTGGCAGCAGTCACCAAACAAAATGTCAATGCTGCTATGGTCTTTGAATTCCTACTCAAAATGGTGGAGGTTATGCAGTCATATTTTGGAAAAATCACAGAAGAGAATGTCAAGAATAACTTTGTCTTGATATATGAAATCTTAGATGGTAATTTTTTCCCTGACTTAAGTTTTTCTAAAGTGATGTGGAATGTTTTGAGTACCGGTAGTAATAATTATGTCTCCCCTTCCAGGGGAGACATATTGTTTTTGTCGATTTTCTTCTTCTTCTTCTTCTTCTTCATCCAAATTTTGTCCAGGCCGTAACTTTAATACCCTTTGACATTAAGACTTCAAACTTGGAACATAGATAGATGACATTGAGAAGGAGTGCACGCCACCAACATTTTTGACCTTGACCTATTTATAAGGTCAAGGTCAATCTTTTACATCAAAATAGAGTTTAGCCCATAACTTGAGATCCCTTTGATATTAGGACTTCAAACTTGTAACATAGGAAGAAGACCTTGAGACAAAATGCACTGCATTAGAATTTTGACCTTGACCCCTTTCTGCCTTCAAGGTCAAATAGGGAAAAAACACGATCTGACCATGACTTGAAAACCTTTTGACAATAAGACTTCAAACTTGGAACATGCAGAGGTGGTATAAAGGAGGGATGCATGCCACCAAAATTTTTGACCTTGATTCAATTATTATAAGGTCAAGGTCAATCTTTTACATCAAAATAGAGTCCAAGCCATAGCTTGAGTACCCTTTGATATTAAGACTTCAAACTTGTAACATAGAAAGAAGACATTGATACAAGATGCAACACACCAAAATTTTTGACCTTGACCTCTTTTCTTCCTCAAGGTCAAATAGGGAAAAAAACTTGATTAGACCATTACTTAAGAATCCTTTGTTATAAAGACTTCAGACATGGAACATGCAGAAGTGGTATGAAGGAAGGATGCATGCCACCAAAATTTTTGACCTTGATCCAATTATTATAATGTCAAGGTCAATCTTTTACATCAAAATAGAGTCCAGGCCTTAGCTTGAGTACCCTTTGATATTAGGACTTCAAACTTGTAACATAGAAAGAAGACATTGTTACAAGATGCAACGCTTCAAAATTTTGACCTTGACCCCCTTCTTCAAGGTCAAATAGAGAAAACATGACTAGACCATAACTTGAGAACCCTGACATTAAGGCTTCAAACTTGGAACATGGAGAGGTGGTATAGAGGAAGGGTGAATGGCAACATTTTTTCACCTTGACCTATTAATAAAGTCAAGGTCAATCGTTTACATGAAAATATAGTCTAGGTCATAACCTGAGAACTTTTTGACATTAGGATTTCAAACTTGGAACAAAGAAAGACAACATTGAGACTAAATGTACTGCATCAAAATATTTGACCTTGACCACTTTCTTCAAGGTCAAATTAAGAAAAACACAACCAGACCATTACTTGAGATGCATTTGACATGAAGACTTGAAATTTTGTACACAGAATTTGAGTTGAGATGCACTGCATTATTATTTTTGACCCTGATCATATATTTGCACTCGTTAATGTTGGTAAAGAAGGGGAGACATGTGTTTTTTTGTAAAAAAAACAATACCTACTAGTTTTCTTATTTTATTGTTTGTGATTGAAATAAAATGTTTTTGTCCTTGTGTATCCTGAAAAAACAGCATTCTAAAGGGAGTTGTATCTTTTATAAGAAAATATCAGATCTTTAAAATTAATAATCTGTATTGATACCCTGCAGAGATCCTCGACTTTGGATATCCACAAAATACAGACACAGGCATTTTAAAGACTTTCATCACTCAACAAGGAGTCAAATCTCAGGTAGGTATATGTACCAAGAGATATTCTACATTTCTCAATCATGTGAGAGTCTTTATTTATTTCATAATTGTTGATTTCTGTTTATGCAGAGTAAAGAGGAGACGAGTCAGATAACGTCCCAAGTTACCGGGCAGATTGGCTGGAGGAGAGAGGGAATCAAATATCGTCGTAATGAATTGTTTCTGGACGTGCTGGAATCTGTCAACTTGCTTATGTCACCTCAAGGTTTGTAATGTACTGTAGAGGCACAAATTTTTGTTTGGATAAAATTTCATTGATTTGTCAACTTTAAAGGTTTTGTGGGCATCAAATTCATTGTTTAGAAAGTAACTCCATTCAATATATAGTTGTATCAAAATTTCGTGCGGGATTTAATTTCGTTGACGATTTTGTACAACGAAATTTTATCCCCAATGAATATTTCTGCTTTTACAGTAGTACCAGATTGACAAGAAAAATTACTTCCTGTTATTTATTAGATTTTTGTTTGAAATTCATAATTCTATATTTTTCTGCATTTGCTGATTAGCAGGTGCCAGTTATGAATTCTTAAATGAAGTTTTTGCAGTAGAGTAGCTATATTTATCTTTTTAAGATAAAATTAGAGATAGAGTAGCTATATTATCTTTTAGATATAGAAGTCGAATAGTTTTATGATTTTTTTTTCATAGGTCAAGTATTGAGTGCTCATGTAGCTGGAAGAATAGTGATGAAAAGTTACCTCAGTGGAATGCCAGAATGTAAGTTTGGAATCAATGACAAAGTGCTGATGGATAGCAGAGGCCGTGGCAATCTAGATGACTCTTCCACTAGACCTGGGTATGTCTACCACTATGAAATGTAGCCATTTCACTATAGCCATTTAATTATGTTCATGCATGTAACTAAATCCCAGAGAACAACCTGTGCCATCATCAGTTTTGTGAAAATGATAGAAATAGGAATTTCTTTGCCTTGACCATGTTTTCACATGCAAGAAATCTGTTGATTTCTTATTCTATCAGTAGAAAACAGATATTTTTTTGAACAGTTTTGTGAAGAACCAGAATTAAAAATCTTAATTATTGGTCAATGAAAACAAATAGGACTTGCAAAGAAAATAAATAAGAGTGAATGATTAGAGAACAGTATGTCTGATATCTTAGCATATCCAAATAAAAAATTTGTGCTTTTCCAGCATACTTTTATGAAGGCTTTGAAATCAAGTCTAGTTTAATTGAAGAATACATGAAAATCTTCACTTTGTTCATTCAAATCCAAGTCACATTAACAGTTTAATAAATTTTACATGGCTTGCTGATTTTTGGAAAGGGGAGGATACAGAAAAAATAGTGATGCACAATGAAATTCAGTTTTTGTCAAATATAAACAAAATTTCCATCACCCTAACCTCTTTCCTTCTTTTGATGTGCCACTAAATATCTGGGAAGTAAGGACAGCACTTTAAACAGTTCTTAATACTGTAATAAATACAATCAAACCTCATTATCTCAAATTCTATGGGACCAAAAAAACTTCCGGATATCTGAGTAGTCAAGATATCAATGGTTAGATATTTAAAGAATAAGTGGTTGGGACTTCCCATTCACTTTGACATATCCTATAACAGGTATTTTCTGCAGTTGGATTTTTTTGCAATTTGACCCCTGAAAGGTAGCAAATTAATTTTTGCATTTTCAGTTTCTGCGGTTGCATTGTACCACAAAAATTTTATTCATGGAATATGAAACCAAATTCTAATGATTTGGCAGATAACTGCCATGTTTACATTTTATAAATTAATTTAAAGACATGTTGATCAAAGGTGCATGAGAACTGGTACTAATCTTTCCTATTTTTTAGTTAGTCTTTGTAAACTATTTTCAAATCCTTTCCATTTCATACATCCGTAGGCATAATTCTTTTTTTAGAATATAAAGTAAGAAGATATGAAATAACGTTAAACCAGGTTGTACGCACCACTTATCAGACTCGCACATAAAAAATATTTTATCAGTAATTAATATTAAAGAAATATTTTGCGATTGTTGTCCTATTTGAAAAATTCAGCAAAAATTTGACAACCGCAGAAAATACCCATTATACTGTATTCATGGTATTGGAGAAATCAGTGCTCAAGATACTTAAGTTCAAGGGTAATTACAAATTAAAACTTTCGGATATCCGAGTATTCAAGATATAAATGGTTAAATAATTGAAAAATAAGTAGTTGGAACTTCCAATTCACTTGGACATATCCATGGTATCCAAGATATCAGCATTTGAGATGCCGAAATTAAAAATAATTAAACTGAATAAATGAGTGGAAATTATCAAAAAAACGGACATCAGTATTGCACATCAGTCAGACATGCATACTGTGATGATGGCTTACAGAAATCAAACCTATCTTATATGTACATGTAGCTAAGTGCTTATTTTACTATTATGAAATGTATTTTACAGAGCAAGCAGCGGAAAGAGTGCAATAGCAATCGACGACTGCCAGTTTCACCAGTGTGTAAAGCTCAGTAAGTTTGAGACTGAGCACAGCATCAGCTTTATTCCACCTGATGGAGAATTCGAACTCATGAGGTATTTGTTTGTAATAGTTCAAACAAAATTAACTTATGTGTCTTTCAAAATGCAACTTTAAAAAGACATGGACTTTGATCCAACAATTTTTGGTAATTCAGTAAAACATCATGTGTAATTACTGTAAAAGAATGACATGATATATCTGTAGATGAATTTTAGCAAAGCCATCTTGTATTTCACCATCCAATGTTTCCTTGTTTTCTCTAGATATAGAACCACTAAAGATATAAGTTTACCATTCCGAGTTATACCACTTGTGAGAGAGGTTGGACGTTCAAAGATGGAGGTCAAGGTCGTAGTCAAATCAAACTTCAAGCCCTCATTGCTTGCACAGAAAGTTGAAGTAAGAATAACTGACTGTTAAAGAAACTTAGGAACAAACTTTATTACATAAGATGTTGCCTTGCTTTTGAGATGTAAATTGCTTTGTTTATATTTAGGTACGCATTCCAACTCCATTGAATACCAGTGGTGTACAAGTGATCTGCATGAAAGGCCGAGCAAAGTACAAGGCTAGTGAGAATGCCATTGTTTGGAAGTAAGTCTACTCATGAGTCTAGTTTAGAACAAGAAATTTTTATACTTTTGTTTGAAGAGCAAAAAATGTTTTATCAATGATGCATATTAAGTGTTTATTTTGATGTAGGATTAAAAGAATGGGCGGGATGAAAGAATGTCAGTTGAGTGCTGAGATTGAACTTTTGAACACCAGCGACAAAAAGAAGTGGACTAGGCCCCCTATATCTATGAGCTTTGAGGTGAATAATTTTCAAGGATGTTGATCTCAGGGCTATTCCAGGAAAAAATGTACGGGAGGGTTGGACGGCACTTCATATATTTTTGTATGGGTAGTGGGTCTGGAGCAATTAAATATGTATGGGTGGTTGTCCTCACTCGATATATTTTTAGATGGGTGGTTGTATTTACCCTCACAAATAATCAAGTGCAAAGTACTTCTTTCCTCTCATTTTGTATAAATCGGTAAATACTGATATTTTCGTCCTAAACAGTTGTAAAGTGTGTTTACATTGAAAGTGAAAGTAGAATCGAACAAAACGGAAACAAGGGCAGATAACTATAAAAGCATGTGCAACTGTGACTGCAATGACAGTGGGGGATTGGAAAACGGATTAGTTGTGCTTTGGACTCCCTGGTCCAGTTTCTTTTCGCCAGTTTAATTAAACATGATTACATTGGTAAATTAAATGATATTAGAAACAATCAGAAAGATCGTTTTATTTTAAATCGAAAGTAGAAAAAAAACGTTTCTGATAATGAACGTTTTAGAGCATGACTACGGAGTTTGCAAGTCAAATATTTTACTTTATACCACATACAGAGTAAAAGGAAGATGAGATATGAGTTTGAAAACAATATGAAATATATTATGTCAAAAACATGCCAGTTAACTTGTCAAACTTGTATGCACCAATGGTCTAAGTTGTTAGATGGGATTTAGAATTCATTAAATATATTTTTTTTAATCAAAGTTTTCACTTCATAGACACTGCCTACAGAAGTTTAGTCCCCCTCCACCCCCCACCCCCCAAAAAGAAAGCAGGAATCATTTTGGTATGAACAAGGTGAACAACAATTTATTAAGGATAGCTAGGCTATAATTTACAATATTAATTTTAATTAATCGTAGGAATGTCATTTCTACTAGTACATGTGTATACATACTTGTAAAAGCTTTACCTAAGCTTTACAGACTACAAAGTCATGCATCAGAACAGATATACAAATCACTATAATAAAGGCTTTCAGTGGTGTGTATCATAGGCCTAAAGGAACATATTTTTTTAAGCTGTAGCAGGAACACGGGGAACTGTTTTACAAAAAAACTTATTACTAAGACTAAAAACTTTAGTTGTTTATAAAATCTTACAAAACTTATGTTTCTGTTAAAAATTGTTGGCATAAAACAATCTCATTTTTTTTTCAAAAAGATTAAAAACATTTTTAAAGTAATTAATGCAAAAAAGAAATTTATTTGCATAATAACATTTTGATCTTAGTCATAAGTTCTTTTGTAAAACTGGCCCTGGTTGGATAGATGTCAAAACCCAACACTCATTGGAAGTAGATCAATTACAATACCTGAAAAAAGTACATAAAATTTTATTGCATATATATATGTGACACAATTTATTTTTAAAATTTAGATGGGTGGTTGTATCAAAAGCAATTTTAAATTGATGGGGGTGGGGTAGAAGGTAATTAAAAATGTATGGGTGGTGGGGTAAAAATAAAAGTGCCTTCCAACCCCCCCCCATGCAATTTTTTCTGGAATAGCCCTCACTCAATAGTCAGAGCAACACTTTTTGTGTTCATTATAATATTGAAAAAAAAGAACATAACTGATGACTCTCCAGATTAGTTAATTCTACCATTCACTAAAAATTGAAAGGTTAAAAATGCTTTTTAATACATGTACATGTAGCAATAATAAGGTGATGTGCATTTTTTAGGTTCCATTTGCTCCTTCTGGATTCAAAGTTCGCTACCTTAAAGTATTTGAACCAAAACTGAACTACAGTGACCATGATGTCATTAAGTGGGTGCGATATATTGGCCGCAGTGGACACTATGAGACCAGATGCTGACCATAAGTCTGTAAACGTAAAGCTGAATATTAGGACTTCTCCATTGGATTCAAAATAGACATTAATGTTCATGGGATCAGACATGTTGTGAATGCTAAATACTGATAGAGATTATGTTAAGATATATTGGTTGTATAGATACTAGGAATTGGTGACAGTTATTCCCCTTTACATTTTAAACTGTGAAAGTATTTGGTGTTACTAAGTGTGTAATTTTTGTTCTTAGCTTATTGTAAATGTTATGAAATTTTATGGATATACATTTGTAAGTATGAAATTAAAGACATCTTTCATTTTACCTATAGTATGATAATCAGCTGTTTATTAAGTAAATATTGTAATTTATATATTCAGCCTCTGTAACAGTGACCTGTAAGCTATAAATGATATTAAGGGATTTAACTACATGTATATAAAAACTTTTACATTGTGCCAGCAAATGTCCACCTTTCTTTTTTGGAAGATTTATGATTGTATATTTAAATGAAATTTTTCTGGTAAGATGTTTAGTCATGTTATCAGTTTAATTTTTGATAGTTTATGACACTAGAATAACAAAAAAAATGTATATTAAAATTTTATCTATTCTATTGAATGACTAAGTTTGATGCCAAATTTTGACATGAATTGATGTGTAGTAATATATTAGAATCAAATAAAAGTTAATCCCTGTCCTTTCCTTTGTTTTTTCAGTAATGTATGAGATTTGGAGAAATGTAAAATAACTGTTATGTTTGCTACATGGTCATCATGCACATTCGACATGGTAAATACCTTAAAGTACATGTACATGTATGTATTTTAACAATGCAATTAATGCATTTCTGTTTGGTCTTCTGCCTTCAATACCTTGCTGTATATTATACGAGTGGTGGACTTTCTACAAACAGTTCAGGTAGAGTAGCTTTGGCTTTTTGATAATTTTGTTACCTTCTAGTGTCTCCTAATATGCATGTGCCTGCTAGCATGCTGTCACAAGTGACATGGTATCAATGTTTTATATTGGTTCACTGCTTGTATCTGTAAGAGTTGTCTGTATTTTGGCATCAGGAGTTATCGATTATTTCAGTTACACTCTATTGGTCACCGAGTTGTACGTAAGTCTATGTTGCTTACCGATACTATATTTATCCATGGACACTCATCAAACTTGTTTGATAAGTTTGGCCAGTTATTTGTTCTGGGTATTGCCGGGTATTGATCGGAAGAGGTTTGGATGCTGTGACGTAGAATTTTACCCAGGCTTAGTGATACTGGAATTGGATGTGTGCAATGTTACCCATGGTTAGTGAACTTGGATGTGTCTTGTTCCCTTGTTGAGTGATCTTGGGATTCAGTTACCTGTGTAGTTTTTATAGCGGTGCTGAGTGCAAGACCTGGGCTGATGACAGAATGTTTACTTTAATTGTATGAAATACCACAGCTCAGTGATCACATTTCATAAGCTATTTTGGGGGGACTTGGTGTCACATGGTGAATTGATGGGGTGGGTTGTCTTGCACTCAAGGACATGTTGGACCTGGGAGGTTATGATGGGCCATAGACATTATCATCAGGGACCTATATATATGCTTAGTATATAGGTCTCTGATTACGCTACGTGTAGACGTAGAGAGAAACCATCCAGTGATGACCCCATGTGGACTTTCTTGGCCATGTTTATACTTATTGTACATATGTAGATAAATTCATTGTTAATTTTTACATATCTTATTTTTTGGTGAAAGGAGTCATCCAAAGTTAAATTGGTTTTTGGTAGTAAGAATCCATCTCAACTAGAGGTCTATTGTGACATATGTTAATTAGATCATATCAGATATAAATGATTTAATGTGTGAGAATTGAAACAAATTATAGAACCAACAAAATATTACTAGATTTAGAATGGTTTCAATTCTCTAGATCTGTTATTTATGTCTCTGGTAAAAAACTATTACTTAGTAGTTACATGGTTGAGTATATAAGATCATATTTTTGTGGTTTGTATTAATTTAAGACACAGTATGAATTCCATATAAATAAATACACATACAGTACATACAATTGGAAAATAAAGCTTAAATGAAATAAAAGTGGTCCGTCCCCTCATAAATTTTATAAATATTAACAGTTCCACTCTTTATATACTCAACAAAACAAAACACACAATTTGATTGATAATTTTTTTTATTATATACAAAGACAATCATCTTAAATAAGCAATCAGAGGATTCCATAGCACATTTACACATTTCATTTATATATAAAAATAACAGCTGTTCAGGGCAGGTTTAAAATATCACTATCCATGATTCTCTTGGGATGATGATTGTACAAAAATGATGAGAGAACATGGAGACCTGCTTTTGTAAGTAGAGTAACTCTTGAATGACTATTTTGATGATTCTATACATATGATGGCATGACAGGCCACAGAAAAATCAATAGCTGACCACTTTGACATAGGGATTCTTTATGTGTAAAGAATACTTCAGGTACAGTCAAACCTCGTTATCTCGAACTCGATGGGACCGAGATAAAACTTCGAGATATCCTAGGGCTTGAGATATCGAGGGTAAAATACTTAAGAAATACGTGGTTAGGACTTCTCAATCACTTCGACATATCCATGGTATTCAAGATATCCATGTTCGAGATACCGAAGTTCAACTGTATTTATACTGGAGAAAAAAAACTTTTACACATGCTGTTATCCCTAAAATTTGGAACCACATTTTTCAATTAAATGTTCACATAGCCATGCCCAGTCAACTAACTGAATGGACAATACATATGGAGATTTTTCTCTTCAGATGAAGCCCTGCTATACAGGGAGAGTTTTCTGAACAGTCTTGGATGCTGCAGCATAAAAGATTTTGGAGAAAAATTTGAGACCTGTTTGTCCACCAGGAATATAACTCACGACATACCTGGAAAAAGAATTACACACAATGTGAGGATGATTCATAGCAGCTGAAAACTGTCAATGTACACACTAGTTTCTCTGCTCTTGTACGTGTATGGAACATTTATTATCTCAACCATTGATGCTTGTTTTACATTAGTTCTTCTTTTGTACACAGGGATTTGACATCATATTTGACATAATATTTTTTTCATTTTAATTATTCTTTGACTTGTAAGTATCTTTTCTACCTTTTAATCACCTATTCCTGTAATACCTAATCGTAAATTCTGGTTCGATTATATTAATCACCGTGTTGCACATTCATATCTATTTTTATCATCTGATGATGACATGTTTCATATTCAACAGAGGATACAAATGTACATAGAGGATATTCATTGTTTTGTAGTTGGATATAGAATTTATTTCACGAGTGGGACAGGATTTTTTGATATTTTCACGAGTGCGAAGCACGAGTGAAAATATCAAAAAATCCTGTCTCACGAGTGAAATAAATTCCATATCCAACTACAAAACGTTGAATTTTCTATTTATTACATTTTCTTTGATTTTCCCTTTGCCTCTGTCTTTTCTTAACACAATGTAATAGGCTGTGACGTCACAGTTGAGCAGTTGAGACATCATGGCTTAGTAGTTGTGAGATGAAAACATTGTAACATGGATTTAAGCAACATATTTGGGAAGAAAATGGCAGTTTTAGTATCTGTCAAGATGGTTTAGTTACTATCTCAATCTTATTACGGGCCAGAAATTATGTTTTACTTACTTTGATATCCTTTCATACTGTGAGAGAATATCACTTTGGTATCCTTTCACACTGAGAGAATATCACTTTTATTCAATGAATAAATCACAGTATTTCACTGTTGAAAATGTAATAAAAGTGTATATTCAGCATTGATTCTTGGGGTTTTAGTGTTCATCACAAATTAGAGTCTAACTGGTGCAGTAAGGATGATGGTACATGTATGTAAAAAGGGAAGTAACTTGATGAAATTTACTGCCTACAGAAGTGATTATTTTACAATGATCTTTCTTCACTATAAAACATAACACCTGAATTAAGGGAATTGTCAGTGGGGTACATGTATATTAAAAAAAAATCACATATAAAAGACAGTAGATATAAGTCATCCTGATCAGTGAGTCTGAGACTATTTGGAGATTCTATGATACCGATAAAAATTTTAAGAGTTGAACTATTTCAACTGATTAAGTCTTGTGTCTGCTTCGGGAATTAGAGGCAAAATGTGAAACAATGATATTCAGAATGTGAACATCATGATTATTGACAGTAAGAAGCTACATGTACACAAACTTACCAGATAAGAGTGATGACTTGTAAAACTGCACATATCACAGTAAGGACTGTACTTTTTACCTGTGAAATAAATAGATAATCAGAATTAAAAAAAACAAAACACAAAAATTACCATTAGAGCTTAAAAATTGATGCAAATTAAATCAGAGTAAAAAATAACTGTGCGCCCGACTGCCTGAGATGCATAAATTTCGCCGCCGACAGGACGTTAAAATTTCCACTTTTTATAAATTTATATTGATAAACCTGTCTCAGATAGACTAATTGCACTAGTAGCAAAGTGTAACAAGCCAAGTGGTAGAACTTGCCAGTCAGTATAATTAGGATCAAAGATATGCAGAGTCCTAAAGTCAAAAAGATCCTAGACATGCTTGGATTGCAACTTCCTATCCATTTGCAAGACAGAAGATGTAACAACTAATGCTTTTACATATGTAACATAATTAATTTATTTTAAAAGGGCAATACTTTTCTCAAACTAGTAGATCTTTGGCAGGGCTGACAAGTTTTATCAGCAGCCATTCTAGCTGATTTTAAAGTGAGCTTCAAATGCTGGCATAATTTAAAACCAAAAAGAGTATGTGCATCCTAAAATGAGATGGTGCTGTCATTTTGCTTTTTTTTCAGCAACATCTAACTACAAATTATGTATTGGGGTATTTTTGTCACCAAAAAGCTGTTTTTAATTTCTGTTATTTCTCCCTTCCTGGTTAAATCTTTTGATCATTTGACTTATCTAAAATGCAATCGGGAGTCAGGTTACTGGATTCATCATGATAAAACAGATAAGTCTGATATTGTGGATTTCTTAACTTTCTTGACATTTCACAATTTGTGCTTTCCAAACAAAAACAGATTAATATGAATAATGCCACTGTCACTGTGTATTAAGAATTTTCATGTAAGTTCAAGTCATTAACTGAAGCCAATTTTCAAATAAAAAAAAAAGAAATTGAAAGTGTAAACAAAACAGCAATGCAAGTGTGTCCATGCCCCTTTATGGTACAGTTGCACTTTGGTATCTCAAACTCTGATATGTTGAATACCATGGATATTTTAAAGTCATTTGGAAGTCCCCCCCCCTTTTTGTCTGTGTATTTAATCCCAAATATTTCAATCTCTTGGAAAACTCTAAGTTTTTCTTTGGTCCCATCAAATTTGAGGTAATGAGAATTGACTGTAAATGTCTAAACTTCTGTGAATATACATGCAAATGTGCAAATGAAAAATTCTTGGGATGGAATATATTACTTTTCAATGTTTCTGAACTGCAATGACTTTCAATACTGGTCAGTCTTTGACATTAAGTATTTTGCAATCTTTGTGACATATAATATAAACCCGGTATATATATATATATATATTTACATTTGCAAATGTTTTCTTTTATATAACACTATTGAAGGCAACGCGTATCTATATCCGTATAAACACGGGTTCCTCGCGTCATAAACGTTCGACGTAATTTCTCAGTGACGTCATAAAGGGTCGACGCGCAATCAGTGGATCAAACATTTGCCGTTGGGTTTGAAAAATAAAACGTTTCACGCGTTAAATATTATAATCAGGCAAATACAAAATATGAATAAGTCACAATTGTAAATATAAGTAATAAGGTATCATTTTAAAACATCTATCGGGCTATAAATACGGGTTGGTACGAGATCAAATTTACCATAAAGCCCTTCGGGCTTTATGGAATTTGATCTCGTGACCAACCCGTATTTATATCCCGATAGATGTTTAAAAATGATACCTTATTTCTTAATATATATATATATATATATATATATATATATATATATATATATATATATATATATATATATATATATATATACACAAAATATAAAGCACTAAAAATGAACAACGACATGAACAATAAAAATTGTCAAAGAAGATGGGTGAACATGACAAGCGAAAAGCCTAGTATAGTGTGACAAACATGAAGGTGAAAAATTAACTCTCAATTATATCAAAATTTACTTTCATATTTCATCTAACATTAAAATTTACTTCATGTAAAATCTCTACAATTTGCAAAAATCTCGTGAAGATTGAAGTTATTTGCTTATTAAATATTATACACACACTAAAGAGGGCAAAAAAAGTCATTTTCTCATACTATAACACTATTTTCGATATGAGTGGGTCTTCACTCCATTTTTTTTGAAAGTTAATTCTCAAAGTTTGCATAAAAATATACATTTTTTGGTTTCCAAAAATATGAAGCAAAGACCCACTATACCTTAAAGATATACTTTATGACATAACATTCGCATCTTTTCGAGAAATACTTGAAGTCCATATAAGTCAAGGGTCAAATCACAAAAATGATTTAAATGCCACTATCAATCAGGACTTGTGTAGTCTAGTGGTTAGCATGCTAGTCTCGAAAGAAAGTGATACTCAGGATTTTTATTGCTAGGGTTCGAACCACACAAATACCAAATATTAAAAAAAAAACATAATGATAAAGAAATATAAGGAATCACTGTCTATTTTGTTGGGTATGCAAGGGACATCAACGACAGCTGGAAACGTCAGATAATTTATGCATAAAGGGCTTTGCCTGTTATGCAAATTATCCCACGTTTCCAACTATTGTTGATGCCCTAGCATACCCAACAAACTAAACAGTGTTTCCATCAATATATATATATATATATATTTGAATTTGAAGTTTATTTCCTTGAATTTCTCCCTCAATAAGCTGTGAATTAAACAAAGCTTGTATTAGACATATGGAGCTGGAGACCACTTCCTCACCTTCATCAAAATTTTGGGACTATGTAAGATAATTCAAGTAATGTATGTATGAAATTTGATATAGAAGGACAAACAGTGAAATGATACTTATTGTATCTTACCCATACTGAGAAGTATATTGTGGCTAGCATTGTTCCTAGGTATGCTGCAGTAAATGGCAGTCGGGATACGGAAAACAAATGCTTTATATGGTGCACTGGTCCCCAGAGAAAGGAAAAACTGAAAATAATTTTTTAATTGCATATAAAAATAAAAGTTGTTAGAGTTCTCAAATGTTTAATATAACCTTTAAACAATTGGTTTTGACATCATGGTGAAGTCATCTTTTACCTTGATATAGCGAACAGACTTCCAAGTGTGTACAGCATTGCAAATTTTCTGGCCTTGAGAAGTAGCAAAGGAATGTAGAGACTAGCCTGTAATACATCACAACCAATAGTTATATTTACTTTGTTAATTGAATTGCTCTTTTATAAGTGCACCTGAATGCATGTGTATGATTGTGTGCAGTTTTTTCTAATAAACAGCTACAAAATGTTTGACAATTACATGTACATTTGTACATGTATTAACATGATGAAATTTTTTCTGAACACTTACCAGTGAAAAACAAAATGTTCCCAGAAGTAGAAACATTACAAAGCCAAGGATTCTCTGCTTTTTTGACTGAAATAGGAAAACAAATTCTTTTGTCATAATTGTAAACATTGAACCTACGTTGTATTATGTCATAGTTAAGTTTTTGCTAGGTCTGAGTGAATCTGCTACTTTCTCATCTGAGCTAATGAAACTTGATAATGTGAACAGGATGCAACTACTTTGAAAGAATGCAAACTTGTTACGAAATCTTCAGTTCCTACATGTAACAATTAAGGAAGAACAATATCTTGTTTATATGTCATATGAGTCCTAGATCTGTTCCAAATTGTCTTTACAGTAATGTCTATTATGAAATGACTTGTTTTCACATTCTATCCCTAATACTCAAAATATGTGTTAATTAATCATATGTATCTTTAGCAAATGCTCTAACCACTGTGCTGTAGTTAATAAATATTATAAAAGATAATGGTGTTAAACACATTTCCACTGGGTTTTCTCTGAAACTCTGAAAGCAAAAATTACTGAAATTCTTGGAAGGTTATATTCTATGTACATTTCTGTTATTATGTTGCTTTTATACCGGGGGTGGGGTGTTAGACTTTTATTACAGAAACAATTGCTTCAATGTGAGTTTGAGTATATGAAACGTACCAAATCCGCCAAGTCAAAAAATAAACGGGAATCACTTGTTTGATTAATTTCTGTACTTTAATCAAGACTTATAAAAACGATTTTTTTTACATAAATGTTAAGGTATTGTTAGATATCTTACTAAACTTGGGAGGCACGGATCAGCTTTGGCCTTGGTAAACCAGCTATTTGCCACGTCATTTGGTTCTAAATCTTCATCCAGAGGCTGGCTCTTCTTCTGAAACAGGTTAAGTTTTCCTAAATTAAACTTACCAAAACCTGAACTACTGTTTTCGTTCCCTTTTGAAAGATAATTCTGAAGATTTGTATTAAGATCTGTCATTTTTCGACGTATTTGCACCGGAAATAAATTATGCACCCTAAAGTTTGAATCGGTATATCCGGAGATTCAATTTCCGGGAAAGATTTTCTTTTTTGAAGTACAAAAGTACATACAGGAACATTTATAACCATTTTATCATCTGAATCGATCTTTACATTTTAATCCATAAAGCCATTGGAAATTTGGTTTTACAATACAACATTGCAGATATTTCAGGGATGTTTTACACCGGGAGAGTGGCTAAAAAAGAGGTTAAATTAATATTTTCAAAACGCTTTCATTGGGAAAAATATCTGGGCGGTTTATTTATTTATTTATTCTTTTTTTTTGTAATGGTATGTCAATACATTGCCATCTATACACTGATGAAAAATTTGATTTTAGACTTCGAGAAAATTATTTAGAATTTACAATTTACATTTAGAAGTATACAAATTAAAATTATCTAGTTATTTTTTTGCGTAGAGTATACAGACATGTGTATTTTTCTTACCCTGGAAAAAATCTTAAAAGACAAAATGATGAAGTACTGATAAAGAAAATCATGCTTGCGTACTCAGATGGGGGAAATTTCAATTGCTCTATCTTGGTCGTTTGGAGAAATGGGCTTTGGTCAGGCCCGTAGGAAGCAATTTCACTTTGAGGGGGCACAACCATACATTTCAGTTGAGGGGGCACTATCAAGTACCAAAATTCCTTGACAAGCAAAAAAAAAAAAAGGTCATCAGACGTTATTATTGAGGGGGCACAAGCTTATAGTAGTTATGTTTTCTATAGTATTCTTTATATCGGCAAAATTATTGGGGGGGGGGGGCACGCCCCCCCCCCGTGCCCCCCCCCCCCCCGGTTCCTACGGCCATGTTGGTACAAATTGTTAAATAATGGCATTAGTGGTAAATGTTTTCCATTTTTTAAAAATTTGTATAATGGAGTTAAGTCCTTTGTGACTATGAATGGTTTTTCATCTGAGTTTTACAACTGTAACATTTGTGTACGCCAAGGAGGAAATTTATCGCCTCTCTTGTTTTCTATGTATATTAATGATTTAGAAGAATTTCTCAATAGTAAAAATGTGCATGGGCTATCCTTTAATGCAAGTAGTTCAAACACTGTAGAAAACCAGTTTTGGCTGTATTTTAAATTATTTATTTTGTTCTATGTTGACGATACAGTTATGATGTCTGAGTCTGTTGAGGGTTTGCAACACGCTCTTAATGAGTTTCATTCGTATTGTTTACAATGGAAACTGAATGTCAATGTAGACAAAACAAAAAATTATGATTTTTTCGAAAGGTCCATCTGTAAAAAATGTATTCTACTACAATAATTCTGTTATTGAAATTGTGAACGAATTTAAATACCTAGGTATACTATTTTCCCGATCCGGTTCATTTTGTAAGGCTAAAAAACATTTATGTGAGCAAGCTCAAAAAGCCATGTATGGTGTTATACGAAAAATTAGACAATTTAATTTACCAGTAGATTGCCAGCTTGATTTGTTCGATAAAGTTGTCACACCAGTACTTTTGTATGGATGTGAGATATGGGTTTTTGAGAACATTGAAATAATTGAACGCGTTCATCTCAAATTTTTGAAATATATTTTTAATCTGAAAACTAGTACTCCTAGTTATATGGTTTATGGCGAAACGGGTCGATTCCCTTTGTATATAACGGTGTATATAAGAATGATATCCCATTGGGCAAAATTACTGGTAAGGCCTGAAAATAAGATTGTTTATGTTACATATAAGAATTTATTTGAACAGTTTTGTTCAGGAAGTCATAAGAACCCTTGGATTTTAATATGTATTAAGAATATACTTGATACTTGTGGCTTCTCAAATATATGGAATGAACAGGCCTTTTTAAATATAAAATGGCTAAAAACTATAGTTGAACAACGTCTTAAAGATCAGTACATACAGAAATTGCAAAGTGATATGCGCGATTCGTCTAAAGGTCATATGTATAGTATCTTCAAAACAGAATTTGGATTTGAAAAATATTTAAACTTACTACCTAAAAAATTTAGAACAATTTTAATTAAATTAAGAACAGCAAATCATCGTCTCCCAGTTGAGACTGGGAGATGGTTTGGAATTCCCAAAAATGATAGACTCTGTAATATCTGTAATAATGGACAAATAGCAGATGAGTATCACTATATTTTAGAATGTCAATTTTTCTCAGAATGCAGAAAAAAGTATCTACCTAGTAAATATTGTAATAGACCAAATTTCAACAAATTCTCAGAATTGTTGTCAACTGCTGACTCCAAGGTATTAATCAAACTATGCAGCTACATAGATAGGGTATATGAACAAGTCTGTCCTCCATAATTATTATTATTTTTTTTTCTTTGTTATACTTTATAATTTGAATGTATTTCCGCCATTTCACGTGTATCTTGTATATTGTTTTTGTATATATTGTACATAGAACCTCATGTACCATAAATTGGTTTGAGTGAATAAATTGAACTTGAACTTGGTCTAATATAATTTTAAAAATACTCGAAATAATTAATAATTATGTAATACAGTACAAATTGCAGTTTATTCTATTTTAATATCAAATACTGGATCAGTCTAATTACATGTACACAATAGTACCCTGAAATCACTGTGCAGCTTAAGTTAATATTGTGTAATGTGAACGTGGCATGTGTATATATGGGCGCGAAAGGAGTAGAAAAGACGATAATGCAAAAGGAACAATTAAAATTGATAAAACATATTGCTACAATTTTCCAAATCACTTCATTTGAACCCCCCCCCCCCCCAACATCCGTGCAATATAAATGACTCCATTGGAAAAGCTTTGGAGCTTTCATAGGTTATTCTTGGTCTATTTATGTATATACCAAATAAAATTTATTTTACTTATTAAGTTATATACATACTAGTATAAATTAACTGCATACAACTTAATTAGCGATTATTTTTAGAATGTTAGGTTGTTGTTTTTTTTTGTTTGTTTGTTTGTTTTTTTGACAATGAGAAAATAATGTATAAAGGTGAAAAGAAATATAGAACTTATTTATTTAATTTTCAACATAGGATGCCCCATGAAAAAATTTCAAAGATAACGAATTATTGGTGAACAAAAATCACTGGTGTTTACTTAAATTGGAAAAATACATGTAAATATAGTGTGCAATTAATTTATCTTGGCCTATCAAATTGTTAAGAATGCTTGAATTGAGTAAAGCACTGCATATTTCAATTGATTTATTTTATATATTTGGGTCCAAGGGCAAAATTCTCTGGTCAACTGCATGAACATACCACAGAATCAGAATTCTATTGTGCAGTGTATACAGAGGGTTCTTATGAAAATATCGTGATGAAAAAATTTTGCTTGAGGTGAAAGGAGATTCATGGAGGCACACATTGGCTCGCGATTCCTTGGAATTTCGAAACTATTTATCCTGACACCTGCACGTGTTGATGTTCAATTACTTTCATTATAAACCTGTTTCTTACTTTTAAATAAACGCATCAGAAAGAAAATACAAACTAATTGATATCAATTTATGCATTTCCTTATCAAAATATTTTGACACAGGTAAAGGAAATGTTAAAAAGGTAGAAGTGACAAAATCAAACGAGTGATTTCCCAATCAGATAAGCATTTATCATCTCTTATCAAAAAAGTATATACAACTTCACATAGTAAAGATCCTTATCGATAATGATGGGTGAGTCACATTTTCCATCAAATTTAGTTTACACTATAACCAGACTAAAATGTGTGAAATTCAAAATGATTTAAACACGATACGAGTCAAAACGATATGGCGGCGTACTTGAAATTACCTTATTTTAAAAGTTTTCCTTACTAATGATAAACTATTCCACCAAATATGCACTTTGTAGCATTACACTCGACAAAACAATTCGCAGGGAAATAGAATTTCATTCCCTGTCTGTCCTATCGCAAGAACATATAAAGATTTTTATGAAATTTCTGGAAGGGATGTGTCCTGAGGCAAAGAATAATCAAGAAAATTGTCATGGGCCAAATAATTTTCAAGGAAAATTGAATTTAGATTTGGTTAAGAATTCGGACGACGGTTTTTCCTAATCCACACGTCGGTTATTTACTAGTATATCGTCCATCTATCAGTCCGTTACATTTCCTATCAGAACACCGATATTTTTAGACGTAGCAGATCAAGAATATTGTCCAAATCTCTTTTCGTCACATTTTCTTCCCATTATTTCTTACTTTTTTAGGTCACCCTAGTCGTTGTGTGTTGTGAGTCGTCCGTTGGTCGTATAAACTTTTTAACATTATGAAAATTTTCATCTTCTTCACTGGAACCAATCTCTTATACAAAGTTGTCGTTCGTTCCACTTTGAGAAACCTATGAACCGATGGTAAAGAGTGAATATGAGCTGATGGTACAGAGTGAATATGAGCCAATGAGTCAATATGAGCCGATGGTAGAGAGTGCACTGGAATCACTGAATTAATCTCAACAAATTTTGGCATATAGCATTTATGGGTAAAGGGAAACACAAATTTTGAATTTTGGCATTTCATGCCTTGCACGGGGGCCTAGACAAAAGATAAAAACCATCAAATGTGTTACTTTCAAAACTCTTCTTTACTCCTGGACATCTATCATGGAAACTGTTTGCATTGTAATAAGCATTTAGTACCTTAACAAAATTGTGAAATTAATAGCCGTTCAAGCTTAAGGATGTGGCTAACTTAGTCATATGCTGAAAATAAAATCTTCTTTTTTACTGGGTGCATTTAGCAGGCAAAATATTTGCATGATTCTATATATGTAATGAGTAATCATCTTTTACCAAATTTTTGAGATCCACAAGCCCTGGATACATGGTTCAGGCCTTAGCGTAGGGCTTGATTTGCTGTACATTGAAATTCCTTTTCGGACATCTTTGAAAGCCAGACAAACTGTATTGATAATCATTATGAAAAAGCTCTCTTCCAAATTGTATAAGTTCAAACATGATCCCTGGCTCAAAGGTTCAGGCTTATAGGGCTAAGTTG